ACGTCCGAAGCGTCCAAAGGCACAACAGTCAGCTGGGAAGGTTATGGCTTTAGTATTTTGGGATACACATGGTATAATCTTCATTGACTATTTTGAAAAGAGAAACACCATCAATAGTAACTACTACACGGCATTACTGGATCGTTTGAAAGCAGAAATTGTGAAAAAACGACTGCATATGGCGAAGAAAAAAATTTTGTTTCATCAAGACAGTGCACTAAGTCACAAGTCAATAAAAACGACCCTATAAACCACCCTATAATCCAGATCTGGCCCCCAGCGATTACGGGCTATTCGCTGATCTCAAAAAAATGTTCACCGGCAAGAAATTTATCTCAAATGAAGAATTAATTGCTGAAACTGCTCGGCATCGAGAAGTTAGAGAAGCCTTGGAATAATTGCCCTTGAAGTAGATTATACTGATGAGTAAAATTGATTTTTGGCAGAAAAAATTTGTTTTTCTCAGTTAGTCAGACGACTTATTGGGTGATGTGTTATTATTCTCAATTTTGAATTTATTATTGAGTTCAGAAAGTTGGTTAATATAGTAGAAAATTTACTCGCATTCGAAGCTGATGTGGGCCTAACAGTGAATACCTCCAAATTGGTTTATTTTTAATAAATCAAATTGCTGGTGCAAGGCTGGATAAAACAGCCACATTAATTTAGGGCAGTGTTTCTCAGCGTGGAGCGTTCGTAAAGTGGAACAATTTAAAATTACATGTAAATTCACATCTTTCAATAACCCTAATCAAAAAGTCGTGGGGTTTACGTACAAAATAAAAATATTGTTTACGAGAAAGGTGAAAGATACAGTTCCTCTTTATTGTTTAAAATATGATAAATATTCGTCTCAACATAGCTGGTTGAGGATCTTGGTCGCTTGAATAGCTTTCCCAAAACTAATAGAATAGCTTTAATTGGTTCTAAACCTCTAGTTTTACGGTAAGACAATGGGTCTATAGATCTAAGTGAATTTCTTTGGATCGCCGGTGTAACCAAATCTAACTCAATCTTTACAATATTTTAATTAGTATTTAAAATATGACAAAATTAATTTTCTTTTTTGATTCTTTTTAGATAACGATTCACTACTGCTCGAGGTCCGTTAAGCAATATAAAACACGAATATGGGTAACCCAATCTGGTTTATTTTTTGGCTTTTAGTATTAATATTCATATCATTCTGGATTGCATTTATCGCTTCTTGGTTCTATATTTTCTTGTATGTGTTAGTGGTGTGGTGTTCGGGCTTATCGGTGAGTTCATTTTACAATTAAATTTTTTTTTTTTATATATATATATTATATTAAGTTTAAAACATTTTTTATTAAATTTTATAATAATTTATTTAATAATTAATGAAAATTTATTTTTCAGGGTCTTACTGATATGTTGTTGCAAGTCATTCAATTTCCTCATTACTGTGCAAAGGCAATGATGGAATGCCGAGCACCATTTTAATACATTTTAATATACATTGTGACCGAAAAGTTTCCGGAAATTTTAAATAAAACGCAAAATTCTTAATCTTCATCAATATTTATTTTATCTCCTTCAAAATATGCTCCATTAGAAGCATTACACAATGCCAACGTTTCTTCCATCATCAAAACTTTTTTTATAGGCGCTTTCCGGTATGGCTTTGAGTTCCCTCTGCGAATTCTGTTTTACGTCTTCTATGGATTCAAAACGCGTTCCTCTGAGTGGTAATTTGAGGTTGGGAAACAGGAAAAAGTCACACGGTGCAAGATCAGGTGAATACGGTGGCTGTTCGATGGTATTTATTGAATGTTTGGCCTTAAAATCGTTGATAATGTTGAACAAATTGAGGTGAATCGGAACAAGCCGGGCGTTGACACGTCGCATACACAAATTGTCCACCAAAATCAAACGAGCCATCTCACGACCGATGCCTAGCTCTCGTGCTATCTCTCTAACACTCACATGAGGATTTTTGAACACGATTTCCTTTGCCTTTTCAATGTTTTCGTCGGTGGTAGAGGTCGAAGGTCGTCCAGAACGCGGCATGTCTTCGACGGTCGTACGACAGTCCTGAAAGGCTTTGTACCACTCATAAACTTGAGTTTTCGATAAAACTGATTCCCCATAAGCCTTTTGTAGCATTCGCAACGATTCTGCACACGAAATTTCGTTCGAAAAACAAAATTTGATGCAAACTCTTTGTTCAATATTTTTTTCCATTGTTTTTTTCGCAACGCACTACTGAGGTGAACTGGTTTCAACAGCTGCCGTAAACGAACTGTCCTGACAGATCGCGCTCATTTTGGCATAGTAATTAAGGACAGTGCTGCCAAACTACATAAACTTAAAATATCGAAAAATATACAGCGCGCGAATTTTAAATGAGAATTTCCCAAAACTTTTCGGTCACAATGTATATATATATACAATAAAAATGTTTTAATTTTTTTAAAATATTTTATGTTAGTTGTAAATAATATTTTAATATAGTAATATACATTTATTTAATAAAAAGTCTAATAAAATCATTAACAATAAAATCAATAAAGTAATATTTTTAGTGTTGGTTTGGAGAGGTAGATGCAGCAAGAAGTACGATTATAAGAATTATAGTGATAATAAATAGCTATGATTTATATAATATCAGAGAAAGGAAATTTCTTGCTTAACGGTAACAACAAATTGACACAGTTCCAAGTTAGAACAATACAAGTCAGGTGCTTCATTGGGTCAGTTAGCTAAGTGTGACACTGAGCTTCAACCCTGTACATTGGTTAATTAATAATAATAATTATTTTATTTAATTTCCAGAAATATTTACCGATTATCCCTGATGTTGGGTATTTGGCAATAATCGATATTATTTTATGGCAAAATACTTTAAATATTATACTTTTATTTTTGTTAATTATTCACTTAAGCTTTTACATATAATAGATAATAGAAATTAATAGGGTTCAAATCTACCAACAGAATGGATTACTGGAACTGTGGTAACTATATTTTTGTGCTCAAAATTATTACTTAGATTGTACATTAAATAAAGTATAAGAATAGTCCTAGTTCATGATTTTAGCATTTTCCATATATATGTTTGTCTTGAAGTGACAAAAAATATGTTTTGGAAACGCTATTCTCCGGAATATAACGAGCTTTGTTTGCCTAGTTTATCATCGTTCGACATATTTCGTTATCGATCTTTCTGATTTCATTTCGATAAAGAATACATCTAGATATTTAAAGCCTTTCGTAGGTTATGGACTACAAAACCTGTTGAATATTCTACACAGCAAAGAATGAAGCATTCATGGGCGGGGAAAAGCATGGGCATTCATGACAAAGAAGCTAATTTAAGAATTTGGAGGATTTTCGAATAGAAAAGAAAGAAAGAACACACACAAAAAGAACCTGGAACGAAAGCAGTGAAAGTTTGTGCTACCTTGGATACTTGTGGATAAACACGATTAGTCATGGCTTCTAATTTGACAGGCATGAGATCTAAGAGACTATAAACTAATTAAATTCGATTATTTCCTAAGACCACTGATGATGAGTATTTGGCAATACTCGAAAAAGCGTTATATGGTCAACCTAATTTCAATAAATTGCCTAAAATTTTTATGTTTTTCCTTTCTTTCTTTGGAATTCAAAAACCTTCTAAGTTTTACTAATATTATAACATAATTTTTTTAAGAAATAATGGGGTATGACTACACACCTATGTGAGCATTGATATGAATCCAAACCAATCGGAACAAATATATATTTTGATGGAAAACATATAAAAATAAAACGTAAGTAATAAGTCAACTCACTGTGATTAGTCACTGTGATCGCTGAACATTAGTTTAATCTATAAACGGTTGACGCTATAACCATAGTTTTGGTTTGAAAGTATAAATATTATAACTCTGTGTAATTATGTGTACATAATTATTTTCTAACCACTTACTTGGTTTTCGCAAATACAATGGAGATTGAGTAAGTAACGATATATCTAATAAACTGGAGAAAAAAACTCTTCACACTAATTAATTAAAGTACGGTATTATTTGAGTAATTTCATATACGACTATGATAAAGATAAGCAACTCAGTAATTTCCATATTTTACTGACATTTGTTTTAATTTTGAAATTAATATTTTATATTTCATTAAAAAAATTAGATAAATATTTTTTAACATAAAAGTGTTTCTCAATTCTAATCGTGTTATGTGAACGGAACCTATATCCTTTGAAGCGCTTCATAAAATTGTACGCCGTAATGATTACTCTGTATATTAAGTAGTTAACATTTCATAGTAAAAGTTTCATACTGATAAGGACAGTAAAACTGCAGAAGTTAAGTTCCAGCGTTGGTGGCGTTAGCAGCAATGAAAATCTCTTGTGGCTCATCTTCTGGCTATTGATGTTTTTGTTTCCCTAACATTTGGTTGCCTATTGGATTTCTCTTTTCTGCGTTATGTAAGTTGAGGTCCAGCATACATATTCAGGTATTCATCTAGTTTTTAAGCTTAACAAATTCCTAATCATCTGAGGCAAAACAAAACCACAAAGCAATTTAAACTTTTTTCATGTTTCTTTTAGTAGAAAGTATTATTCAAAATATTTTAAATCACATAAATTATTTGCAATGAAAAAATTTATTCACTAAATTTTTCGGTTGTCATTATAAGAGAGAAGAACAATTGGTATTGCGTTCCGCGTTCCTTCTAGTACTCAGTTTCTAAATGTTTATTACATTGTTCATCAGTTACGTTTGTCGTACGGTGCTTGGTTAGCTTTGTTGCCTACTTGTCGAATTTTTACATATTATA